TGTCATAGCCCCTGTTGCAGGGGCATTTGGCCCTTGTTGCGGGGCTGTAGTCCCTGTTGGGGGGCCTTAGCCCCTGCGGGGGCCATTTCACCCCTGTTGGAGGGCCGTAGCCCCTGTGTGGGTGCTGTAACCCCTGTGTAGTCATAGCGCCCCCAAGAGCCAGTGCTTTAACACTGTAGATATGTCAATAAAACATTGCCCAACTGATCGCTGTCTCTGTCTCACTCTCTCTCTTTATAGTGGTCTTCTGTTTTAATTGTGGAGGAACATGGATTTGGGGGTATTTTACAGAGTGACTTTGGGATTTTTTTTTATCAGTGATTTTTCAGTTTTCCAATAAAGAACATCAGAATTCCTGCTAGGGAGGCCAGTAGCAGGATGTTGCCTGCTCAGAGCTGGCACCTTGGACCCAGCTAGCTGTGGCTGACCTCCTGGCCAAATGGGGCCAGGAGGACATGTTTGACAGTTCAAAGCAGGCCACCAGACCTGGAACACTACTGACATCTGTGCCCAGGTGGCCAGGCAGGGGGCACAGATGGCAGTAGTGACACACAGAGGCCAACCCTGCAGTCACTGCCCACTGGCAGGTGCACAGCAGGTCACAGCCAGGAAGCAGCCCCATTGCCAGACTGCTGCAGTGGGTAGAGGTGCAGGGAACTCTCAGGGCTGCTTCAGGAGTCCAGCTGGCACAAGTGTCCCCAGGTACCAATTGACTGGGCCCCAGAAGCTCCTGAGAGTGAGCAGCCCTGAGCTACTTGCTAGGGCAGCTTTTTGTACTGCTGGAGCCAAGACAGGGCAGCTTTTTGTATTGCTGGGGACAGCACAGGCGCTGGCCCTGGGCTCTAGCTCCCCCTGGCTGCAGATCCGGGAAGAGCCAGGCAGGGTTATTTTGGGGGGAGTGACACAATTTGCTCCACAACAAAGTGCAAGTCTGAGCTCATGTGCTGAGGCAAAAAGCCCCAGCTCAGATTTGCACCGCTTCTATTTGAGCTGCTGCAAGCACACGTGCTTGTATGTGTGGATGTACCCTCTGAGTCTTGTGATGAGCAGATATTTGCTCCTTCCTCCTGACCCACTCCCTCCCTTTTTGTCTACCTCTTCACCCCTGCTTCACTCTGCACTTTTCCCTTTTACGGTTCTCTCCCATTCCTTTCTATTTTGCTTATCCAGCCTTAAGTAACCCTTTCTCCAGTACGCACATACAAACACTGACCATGGGTGTCTAGTGCCTCTTGAGTCAGTGACCGGGAGGGGGGTCCCCCAGTAGCCAATCCTGCTGGCTGGGGGGGAGGTCTCCCCAGCTTTGGTTGGCAGTCCGTTTCCTGGCTGGCACTGATGCTCCCACCTGCCTGCTAGCTAAACAGGGAGCACGGCCTGACAGGGGGTGCCCCAGTGCTCTCAGGGGGTGCCTGTGTACCCTCGTGCACCCCCTACATGACACCCCTGACACTGACTGCATGTTTGCTCCCATTGCATTGTTCAATTTGCTTGTGTGTTATGTCCTTTCTAACCCGCACCTGCCTTCCCTGTTTGGAACATATGTTTTTTAGGACAGGGTCTTTCTGTTTGTGTTGGTTCAGAGCCAAGCAAAATGTCCTGTATTGCAGACTTTCTTCTCCTCTAAGGCTGAAGGTCCTAGCTGCTGGTATAGCCAAGGAAAACCTTTGATGTGGAGGTGTCCACCTCAGTTATCATGATCCAGATGACTCATTTGCTTTGACATAGCTGTTAAAGCTGGAAATTTGGAAAACAAAGGAAGAGATATCTTAAATTCAGCATGAATATTCATTACCTCACATATGCAACCAACACCAATAACTCCTTCCGTTTTTTGCTCCTCCTCCCTCATGACTCTTTTCTTGCTGTCCCTCAGAATTAGTTCTCTCATGCTCTCCTTTGCTCATGCTTCCTACATGTTTTAGTGTCTTTCTTCTTTTTGCTTTGGATGGGTTATTTCTCCATCCCCATATTGTGGCTTTACCTACATTGCTTCTATTGGCTCTGCCTCCTCTTTCAAGAAGGTAGAGTAAAAATGAAATCTTTGAGGACCAAGGGTAGTAAAACAATGGATCAGGTTATCCAGAGAGGTGGTGGAAGATCCATCCTTGGGGGTTTTCAAAACCCACCTAGACAAAGCTTTGGCTGGGATGACCTAGCTGGGGCTGGTCCTGCTTTGAGCAGGGGGATGACATCCTGAGGTCCCTTCCAACCCTAACTTTCCATGATACTACCTGTGATTTAGAGTCTTCTCATGGGAGGGACCTTCTGTTTAAATCCTTCTATAAAGGTTGTAGAGACCCTGCCTACAGTGCTCAGGAGTTCAAAGCATAGGAGTCTCCCAAGCTGTCAAAATGCTTAATAGGTGTGCATCTACCGAGTGGGCCCACACAGGTGTTGACTATATGGTGATCTGTTTTTTCCCCTCTCTCCTTATCTAAATCCATAACCCAGAAACTAATATTGCTGGTATAGGACTCCATCCCCAACCTTTGTAATTTTGTGAAGGACTAAATTTCAGCTACAAGCCCAAGCTCATCTGTTTTTCATGAGTTAAAACAAAAACCAAAAAACTGCTGGCTGGAAAGTTCTCCCACAAATCCAGATGAAGTATTGACATGAGAGTGTCTCTGAAATATTTGTACATAGACTCCATGGTAGAATCTGCATTACTGAAAGTAGGAACCTCTACCTCTGAAGGTAAAAGGGGAACTCAGTTAGCTACTAGCAATACGCTTCTACCATGCAATTATAGCTCCTGCCTGCGGGAGATGTGAGACAGTCTGCAAATGATCTAAGTTTACAACCCTAGTGCATTTGCAACCAGCCCCCCCCGCCCCATTATTTTCCTTGCCTTGCTGTAGTCAGCAGCATGAATTAACCATGGGGGCTTGTGGTTTATTTTCATAATAGCAAAGCTCGTCCAGTAAATCTTATCTCCTCCTGCCCACCTTCTTCCTCTGAAGAAAGAGCGGGGTTCTGTTCTTCACTCCCACTGCAAAAGCCCTCCAGTGGAGGCAGGAACATTTGTTTCCAATATACAACAATGAATGTGGATGGTAATTAGCAAAGAATCTTTAAAAATCCATATCCACTATGTGATTCTCTCAGTCTCCTGTGCTGAAATTTTTTTACTGTATCCTACGTGAAAAAGATCCTTTTAAAATTGATTATGCAGCCTGCTTATTCCAGTTTGGGTCAGGGGGAAAATAGAAAAGGTCGATCCGTTATACTTCACTAGGAAGATCCCATATCGCTCCTCATAGCTGTGACTTCTCTATGCATTAATGCAGACTCTTAATCCAGCCCAGGTTCAATTTTGCAATTTGCATGCCAGAGAGGTGGCATGTGGGGGAGGGGAGGGGGAGAAAAGGGGAGGGGGGTTATGGAAATGAGTTACTATTGATGTAATACTACCCCCTACTGGTTGTCAAT